GCCTTGAAACTTGTGGTTCTCTTGCCTCAGCCTCCCAGGTTGCTGGGATTACAGGCATGTGCCACCACACCTGGCTGGGCACATTTTAAGTGTTGATGGATACCACCGAAATGCCTACTGTATTCCAGCAGATCTCTCAATGTGTAGGGAAGAGGACTGTAGCATCCAACCCCCAAATACAAAAAGAAAAATGGTTGTTTTGACAATTGGTGGGGGGGGACAGAGAGGGTATGCCATGTCTGTATTTTAAAAGGAAAGATCCTACCCTCAAAGAAGCCATTATTGGGTTTTTGTCTGATATTTTTGCCTCTGTCTTACAAAGCAAAGGATGCCAGAGTCAGCAAACTGGCTCCCGATTCACAAGCTGTCAGGCTTGCTCTGTCCTCAGGCCAGAACACCAACATCCCAGCTGGCTGGCTTGCCAATGCTGCCCCAGGTTGAATCAGGAAAAGTAGTGCTGGCAGTTTAGTTTCAAAGAATTTCTTTTCATAGAAAAACCCTTAAGGATCCATTTCCACTAAGATGAAACACCTCTCTGCCTGTGTCATCCCTAAAGGACATAAATTGCAAGTTGAAGAGATGCACTCTGGGCTCCTGCTTCTGCTTTTGCAAAGCCTTCCCTGAGGCAGTGATGAACACACAGTCCAGAGCAAACAGAGGCCTGGCAGTTACTTAACCTCCTAGTCCCTCTGTTTTCTTATCTAGAAGCAAGGCTCATCATGCCTAATGCCTGCAGTTATCCCTGTAAAGAACGCAGAACAGGGGTGAGTACACGTTTTTCACCATCACAAGGGTGCTGTTTATCAGAGTCATAGCAAACTCCCTGGTGGGATGAGCAAGCTGTTCTCATACGTAAAAAATCCTCTGTTCAAAGAGAATTGAGAATTATTCCTCTTGGGGCTTTTCTGTCCCAATTTCCCAAATATATGCCTCGAACTGTAGGGAAAAGAATACATTTTATTACTAAGATAAACTTGGTTTAGGCACAAAGGGAAGAAAGAACCAAACACCTATTGACCTTCTAGATGTGACCAGCACTTTCCCAGGCACCGCAGAGGTAACAGCTCATGACGTTCTCACCATCTTATGAAGTACGTAGTATTTAGTCCCAATTTACACGTTAGGAAACCAGCATGGCTTTGGCCAGGGAACTTGGTCAAAGTTAAATGGCTAGTAAGTGGTGCAACTGGAATTTCCAGTAGGTCTGTGTTCCAAATGTACCATCCCACAACCACCCAGTTCCCTCTGCACTGGCTCGATGCTCATTCATCACTTCCTAAATTGCTGAGTCTGGCCTGAAACTTGTGATCCTCCCGCCTCAGCCGCCTGAGTTGCTGGAATCACAGGCGTGTACCACCGAGCAGGCTTGTCAGATGTTTTCTTGAAATGAAGTAAGTTTATCACTTTCAGGAAAAACAAAAAAAACTTAGAATAGTTTCCAGTGACAAAATTTTGTTTTTTCAAAGGTAAAACTAGGACTTTGGAAAACTATTACAGACCACGGGGAACTGTGGATAACAACTTCTTAAACATATGCTTTTTCTGATGAGATTCGCATTGATACTGACAAAAATGATTTTTAAATAACATCAACGATTGAAAGATCCACACAGCTCAGGAAACTAATATTTTCCAAATGACCTCTGCAGTGTGACAAAATGATGAAAAGGTAAAAGATTTACTCAGAGCGCAAAATGAGCCAGTGGATTTTAATGCCACAATACAACTCTTTAAGAGATTTGATGTAGGATCAAAGGCACAACCTCTGTGATCTGACTTCTCCTTGTAACATTTCTGACACTAGAAGTATTGGATTTCCCCCACCACACCAAGCAAGTCTCCAGTCCTCTTCAGGTACCGACTGGGTGTCTGACAATCTGAGTTCTGACGCTAAGTCATGCAGACCTTCAGGTTAGGGACTCAGGCCCGTAAGACTGCCCCCTCATTGGATGCCAACCGAGTTGGGGGTCTCAAGTTACCCACACTTCTGCCTGCCTTTGCTATAAATCTATAAATCAGAGATTCCCATGGCCCCTCCTTATGTTCAATAATTTACTATAATGGTTCACAGAAGCCAAGGAAACTACTACCTTTTTGCTATAAAGGATGTCACAAAGGATACCAATGACAGTCTGATGAGGAGTACATGGAGTAGGGTCCAGAAGACCCACGCACAGGAGCTGTGGTCTCTGTGATCTTTGGGGTGTGCTGGATACTGTTGCCAACACAGAGGCTCTCTGAACCCCTTCATTTAGGTTTTATAAAGACTCTATTCCATGGGCATGATTGATTAAGTCATTGGCTATTGGAGGCTAACTTCAGCCACAGTCCCCCTCCCCTACATGGAGGTCAGAGAACGGAGTTCCTTTGACAAGCAGCCCCATCCTGAAGCTACCCAGGAGTCACCAAGAGTCACCTGATTAGCAGAGACTCCCTTATGGTTAAAAGGGACTTGTTAACAATTAACAAAAGGTGCTCCTTTGTCACCTAATACTCAGGATATTAAAGTAACTTATAAGCTCTGTGCCAGGAACTGGTAATGTAGCTCAAATATGTATTTCCTGTTATGTTACAACATCACAACAGAATATCCACAGTTCACATCAAGAAC